GATCAGATGCCCGGTGCAGAATATGATGATAATAGGTGGGCGACTATCGTGGTATTTGACAGTCCTTCGATACCTCTGCATTTGCCGTGGGGAATCTTCTTGCTTTGTGGGGGTAAGGTCAGGCTTACCTGACTATTCCCCCTAATGCTTATGGCGGACCTTGCGCACTTGGTATTTTGGCAGTTAGTCCGCTCGCACCCGATGACATCAGGAACACCACAGGGAAGGCAGTGAGCTGTCACAGGCACTCGTTGAAAGACCCCACTCTAGATCCGGACTATGATGACGGATGGTATTCGACTACCCGAGCACAAACAATTGTTGAGATGCTTTTTATATTCCCGAAGCTCGTTCGAAATACTGAGATGATTGAGCGGTTAGCTTGTTGGGCACTGAAGAATGCTAACCGCACAGCAAAGGCTTTGACAAATCCCATCGGTGGCATGGAAGCTCGTAAAGAAGGATTGTTCTCGACAAGGCTGGCTGTGGACTACTTGCTTGCTCAAACCGGCATTGGTTGCTCTGAGTTGGAGGATGCTGGCGTCAAAGGTTTTTGTTGTATCGATTGGACAAAGAACGCAACAACGGAAATTGAGTGAGCCAAGGGCGCAGTTGAGGAGTTGTTGAAGAGCTCTTATGGAGATCGAATTTACCGAGACTGGTAGGGGAAGGGCTGGCTAGATTGGCTGGGAACACCAGATTCGTGGATAACGTCTCTTTTATCGGCAGTTTTGTCAATGGTAATATTATTGGATGTCGGTGTGTTCTTCTTGCCCCTGCTCTTTCGACTATTGCGACAGATGCTTGAAAAGCTAGTCCTGCGAACAGTGAATATTAACCTGCTTCTTAATAATAGATGGCAGTGCTTGCCACAAGAAGAGAATGATCGCCTTCAGCTAACACTGTACTATGCTAATACCTTTTGTAACGGGAAAAGGGGGTGCGGTAAAAAGAGGCGTGATATATAGTATAAGGAGGGGGGAGATGTGGGGGGAGATGTGGGGGGAGGATTGGGAGGGACCATGGGTGGAACAGAGGGTCACGGGGATCTGGGCGGTCATGTGTACGGGTATAAGAAGCTATGCTACGCAGCAATAAATTGGCACTTGAGCTAGACACAGTGTGTCCGTCTCTGGTGTCCCTGCTTGGGGAGCAGATGTCCAGTCAGCCAATCGATGTTGTCTCTCAGGCTGGGGTAGCACGGAAAGCAGCAACAAGAGGCATCTGTATTATTGCAAACCATCTCAAAGGAAAATTGATACAGCTCATCCGAGTTTCCAGCACTGCATGAATACAACACATCTTACCTTACCTTTTTCGGCAATAAGGTTTTACAGTGGAAAATGAACAGTGTTCTGAGGGGATGGAAATAAGGACAATGAAATTAGTCCTGTGATGAATGTTAAATAGGCTGTTGTGATTGTGCTTTATATATTTAACATGACGTTGAAGAGCTAAACAGTAAGTCCCTTCTACACAAAAATTAACAGGTCTTTAGAGAAGGTAAAAATTTATTACTTATTCCTGCTTGTAGCAGGTATCTTTTAGAATGGATTGAGCCTTTTAAAATATTAGTATTACTGATTTTTTGCATTTTAGTTCTTCAAAGTGTTTTTCTTCAAAATGTTCTTCACCCAGGCATGCAATGTATATTACTAGCCATGATCAGCTTTTCTTGCTGGTAAAGAAAAAAAAACACAAAACCATCCCAGATCTGCTGAGTAAGACACTCATCAGTTGGTAAAATCCTTCGGTTTGGATTACAGCAATCCTAAAAGCCTGCAACCATCCTCAGAACTGCATAAGCAAGCCATCAGGGCCTCCAGTAGGGAAATGCATGCAGGTCAGGGACGATGCTGGATCTGGAGCTTGCCTCTGGTAAGTGGAGAGATGGCAACCATCTCCTGATCCCAGTGGTCCTTGGCCCCATGAAGCACCACGGGCAGCCCTCCTGTGTCTGGAGACACCAGTACTGAAACCAGGAGCTGCAACATTTGACAGCAAGCACAGAACAACAAAACCAACCTGGGTAAAGCAGTGAATCATTGTTTGACAGAATATGAAATAAGTCTGGCTTTTTTCTTTTTTTTTTTTTTTTTTTTTTTTTTTCCTGCCAAGAGCCTACATTTAAATTCCATGAGGCCTTTCATTCTGCCAGAGAATTTCTTCACATGGAGCATCTTCTGCTTCACCTGGCGCACAGCCCTAGCACAGACATTCCTGCTGTCGGTATGTTTTTGGAGCAGTTCTGCTTTAACGTCAGCTTTGCGCCAGTTTTGAGCCCTGATTAACCTCAGGTGGACGCTGGAAAGACAGTGACCAGTGATGGGGCTTCATTTCTCCCAGCGATACCCACAGCGGTGCCAGCTCCCCACAGGACAGCAACTCAAAGAGCCTCGGGTGTAAGGGAAGCAGTTTTGGTTTTGCCTAAGCACACTTTTTTTTTCAAGCCAGCCTTTAAAACACTTCAAAAAGGAGGATTGGTAATTCTGAGACATGCTTGTAACAGGGCCAAAAATTTTCTCTCATCCGAGTAACATTCGGATTCAAGGACATTCAAGGACAAAGTACCAGAGGGTATGATAGCCCTGAGACAAGCAGTTCCCAGGGAACAGACTAAAGACTGTAATGACACGTGGGTTATGCATCTCATCCTGGCCCCATCCCTGAAGGAGATGTGAATTAGCAGCCCTGCGACAATAAACAAAATGTGGGATTAAGAAACAAGGGAGGAGGGAAAAGGGCTGGATGACTCTCCCACCGCCTTTTCTTGTTCTGACAATTTCTGTTGCCTGGAAATGTCTGATGAGAAGACAGGATTATGTAAGTGCTTGCCAACTTTTCACGTTAAGAAAAGTAAAGCCTGAGTGATGGGTAGCTTAACCCATCCTCTAAGCAGTGCGCTAAACATGCTTACTTGGGAGAACTCGAGCAGCGAAACCCACTTAAAAATCCAGGAATGACGAGGACCTGACAATTCCCAGGATTAAGCTGCATACATTTACAGTCACTGTAATCTCCTTATAGTAAGATGAGGAAAAGGAAAATAAAGTCTTTTTGGCATGCAAGAGGGTTTTTGTTTTAAAGTACATGCAAGCAGTCTGATTGAAGGCTTTCTTGCATTACTGTTGCTTTTTCTCCCAACAGATATGACAGACAAGAGAGCTATATTAGCCCTCCAGACCCACATTAAGATATACTTTCCACCAACCCCTTGCTCCCATCAAGCATGACCCATCAATAATAAAACATTAAGCACTGTGCTGTAGCAATGTCTCTTGCTAAATTGAATCAGACTAACACTTAAGTCCTGCAAGAATGCAGAAACCAATCAAAGCGCAAAATATCTGTATCTGCTGTGTCACTTCAGCAGACCTATGCTTTCCTGAACTCTTCCTGGTTCTCATGCAAGTGGCATTTTACCTTCTGCCAGTACTCTAAGTGCAGCAGAAAGTAAAAAAAATAAAAATAAATTAAAAAAAAATAAGTTAAATTGCTAGGCTTTTTCTACTTTTATCAAAAATACATATTTGGATCATTTTTTCTTTTCTTTTTCTTTTTTTTTCTTTTTCTTTTTCTTTTACTTTTCCTTTTTTTTTTTTTTTTTTTTAATTCTCTCCTGTTTACCAACAAAGCACTGGGGTCTCTAAAACGAGCAAAAATTCTTGCAGTCCCACTTCTCCCAGTTCAAAACAAACATGCTTAAACTGCAGTAATGCCGAGGGCACTGCGGATGCTGCTAGAAAAGGCGATGTTCTCAGCAGTGTTGAACTAAAATATCCCCAGCATCCTGCTGCAAGCTGAAGGTGTGTCCTCACTGGAGCATCAGCAATGCAAAACTGCAAGTAGCCAAGGCACATGGAAAGCAAAGCAGAAACAGCTCTGTGTGCTGCTCAACCTTCGCTCCAGCACCTAGGCTGGGACAGCACACAGCAAACAAACTGCTGTTTAGAGCAGGAAGGCATGTGTGGTTGTTTTGTACTGCAAGCACGTGCATCTAGAAGAGGGAAAGAAAGCACATCCAGGTTTCCCGCAGCTCTGTTACGCTCCTCCACACATCTTCAATACAAGACAAATTCACGGTGTATTTTTGTACAGCTGCCCAGTCATAGCAAGAGCAAATCTTGAGCTGGTGATAATGGTCATAGGACCACTGAATTATGTTCAGTGGATGTTAATTACATTCCCCCTTTGGTCCTACTGACGTGGGGAAGAAGAAAAACAATCCTATATGAAGAACGCTGTGATGAGTGAAGGGAACCAGATCTGAAACTTTACACACAACTATTATCACTGTGAAATGTCCTCAAAAAATTAAACTGGGTGAAGCCCCAGCTAACCAATTACAAAATCTACATTTCTTCAGTTTTAGAACAGAGGTGGTGTTTCTCAGAAGTCCGTTCACGTGACTTGGCCGCAATTCGAGCCACCTCAACAGCACCCCAGCTATTTCTAGCAGCACTGAGAGTTTACCTGAGATCTCCTCCCTGACGGCAGAACTGTGAGCCAACAAGTTGCTCGAGTCAGGGAAAATACAAAATGTGCAAAATGATTTTTGCGACCGCTCTGTTATGAATATATTGTTTTTGCTATCATGAACTGTGAATTTTAAAATATGTAAAACCACGAGGCACAGAGCAAATAATGTCTACTTAAGTGGGTCATTTTATTAATGGCAGGGCACTGCTGTTTTACTACCAGCTCGTTTGCAATATAGACACAGACATTTCAAACCATGTATATTTATATCTGCAAAGGAGATGAGTATAATCATGGAAGCACTCCCTCCAAGATCAAGTAGAGCCTAATTCATAAAGACAAGCACAAGAAAAAGTAGTATTTTGCACTGTCTATGTGAGCTTCACAGACAGGTATGACATTTCCAGGAAAATCCTCTTGCTGTGTGTAAGCTGCAGTCTCAATGTGCTGCATGTTGCATATTTCATTACAAAAGCAGAGCCATGTTATTTAATTAAAGAAGCGATAAGTTCAATCCTTACCAAGTTTTCTTGGTTCCTGGCTGCTATTTTCTGATCATCTTCTCCCCCATTTTTCATGTATTTGACCTCTTCCACTGGTTTGATCCTATACTCATCTGAGCACCAAGAAAAAAAAAAAAAAAAAGAAAAAAAAAGTTTTGAACCACTGTAGTTCAGCAGCTGGGGAAAAATAAAAAAAAAATAAAAATAAAAAAACTAAACCCAAAACAGCTGACTAGAAAAGATCCTAATTCAACAAGGCAACAAAAAAACACAGGTATATAGTTTCAAAGACTTAAACGGGACTGATACCAAGAAAGTTGTTCTGGCCTCCTGAAATGGGTGGGCAGCTCTCTCGGCTGGAATAGCCTCGGTACTGTGAACAGTGGGTACTGGGAATATGGCAGGACAAACCCTTTTCAACCTCCCTAGTTTTCTGTATGATTTGTCTTAATACAAGCAAACTCTCTGCTACTGCAGCCTCCCTAGGTTTTTACTATCGGTGGGCAAGCAAGCAATGTACGGTAGTGACTATGCAGAGGAGGCTGCTCATGTACGTACTTTGCATTGATAAGTCAAGCAACGCTAATGAAGGCAATTTAAAAAATAGGCTATAATCTGAAAGAAAGAAAGAAAGAAAGAAAGAAAGAAAGAAAGAAAGAAAGAAAGAAAGAAAGAAAGAAAGAAAGAAAGAAAGAAAGAAAGAAAGAAAGAAAGAAAGAAAGAAAGAAAGAAAGAAAGAAAGAAAGAAAGAAAAAACACCCCCAAACACAGCGTCTTTTTTCATTCTTTTTCCTGCACTGTTTTAATAGAGTTAAACCAAAAGGTACCCAGTGCCAGTCACATGAGGATTTCTGGAGAAGAGGCAGCATGCTGACCATTCTCGTCTCCCCAGTCCCTACCACAACCATTTCTTCTGCACGTGAACGTTACCCAGAGAGAAATCCAGCATGAAAATAAGGAATAAGAAAAGTAAAACTCCCGGCCTGCCCTTACTATTTATCAGCTAGACATTGCGGCTTTTCAAATACTGACTTCCAGCTCTGGTGTCAGTCCTGTAACGCTATTTTATGTATGGATGCTATGCCATAAGATGCAAACAGCATCACTTAAAGCTGGAACCATGGTTTTTTCCTTAGTAGGACATGACATTCCCAAATTCCCAAGGATTTGGGGAAAAGAAATTCTTCTCTTCCTTTCCCTCAATGCAAAATGAAATGAGAATACACTGGGAATAAAAAGTGAAACCTGGGCAAATGAAAAGAAACCATCCAAACTTTATTATTTTTCTTTGGGTTTTCAAGCAATTTATCTTGCTAAGGGAAAAGCAAAACACAAATGAATTTTCCTGGGTCTATTGTATTTAAATAAACAAACAAACACAAAAATTAAATAATTTAGAAGGAAGCTTGTTTTGAGGAAACTATTAATCAGGTAGTATATGTTATATAAGCCTTCTTTTGTTTATTTGTTTTTTAAAGATATAAGCTGCATTTGGACTAGTACATATCTATTTTTTTAAGATTATTACAGAGTTTAAATAAAATTGTAAATTTATCACATAGTAGCAACTCAGATGCAGAGACTCAAAACAGGCAAGAACTTAAAACATATTAATAATATTAAACATATTAAAAATATTAAGAACGAAGAATTAAGAAATCATTAGACTGGTAAATGTGAACTTGCTTGCTGAACTTCTTTTCTCTTTTTAAATGGAATTTAGGTAGTCAGGAGATGACAATTCATAAAACCTAAAAGGCTGAACACAATAAAGCCCGAGAATTAGAAGTACTTGATTGACTGCAATATCTAACTTACATTCTCCTCACTCTTTCAGCGATCTCTGTTGTGATTAGCAATGAAACCCACACGTAGAAAAAGCACACAGCTCCCACAGTGGCATTTATGGATTTGAATAAGGGACCAGATGAGACAGAGAAAATGCAACAAAGGAAGTTTGCACAACCTGTGGCTCGTCCACATCAACTCAACAAGACATGCTGAGAGGAACAAACAACCCAGCCCTGTAAAGAATACGCAAGGCATGGAGGTTCTGATGTTCAGGGGCAAAAATAACTTCTGCAAGGTGTCTCCGGCCTATCCCCAGTGACTTACTGTAACTGAACATTGAGCGCCTGCCCAGGCAGCAGACCTCCCTGCATGGACTGCAGGTATGGGGCCACATGAAGCATGTTCTTTCTTGGTGCATGCAGCAAGGGCATTGATGAGGCCATGTTTGATAATTGGTATAATCAGCTTTTTGTATGAAAGTTTGATGCAGTTCTATAGGATGGAGGTAAGATGGGAAGGAAGCTCTAGCTGGCAGCTTAATTCTGGATTTCTCCTCTAGCTGACTGCCACCAGTCCCGAGGGGCACTGCTGTTCAGGTACCTGAGCAGTAGGCATGCTGGAACCTGGCCTCCAAATATTCATCCCCACCATCTTGGCCACACTTGTAATTACTGCAGTATTGCTACTTACAAATCCAGACTGCTTTTAATAGGCTAATGAAGTTCTTCAGCAGAGAACTTCCTGAATCGTCTAGGGTTTGTAAAGAGGCCAGATGTTAGAGAAACTGTGGACAGAGTTAGGCCAGGCAAGGGAGAGGATTATGAGGTGGACACAGGACATTTAAAGAATTTCTTGTATAAGTTCCACAGCTGACTAACAGCGTTAGTGAGTAAAAGTGTTTTTCCCCAGTACTTTACTTATCAATACAACAGCTACTCAATTATCTGTGTGGTGCAGTGCAGACAGCGTGACTCTTCCTCTATCCTTGGGACTGGCAGAAGTGCATATGCCTGGTACAATTAAGGCCTGACACACTCAGCAGCAAGAAAGCTTCCAAAAATAAAAGTCATTTCTCATTACGTTTTTTGGGACAAGTTGAAAAAAACATGTAAACTAGGAAGTCTTACTTGAGAGAAATCTGTCTTCCTGTTAGGAGGATCACAGACTGGCTTGGGTTGGAAGGGACCTTAAAGACCATCTGGTTCCAACCCCATGGGCAGGAACATCTCCCACTAGACCAGGTTGCTCCAAGCCTCAGTTGAAATAGAAATAATCAGGAGGTCAAAGTGGAAGACATCTGCCTCTGTGAACATTAGTAAAGTTAGTCTCTTAATAGGAAGTGTCTTACAAACTTAATGCCATAGCTCTATTATGTAGTATGGATTGGGGCATTAGAAATCTCTATACCTGTATCTCCAAAAGCAATGGCAATGTTAATTTGCCAAAATCTAAGCTGACAATCTACCTTAAAAGCCAAGAGGCAATCTCTGGAGGGATGAGGCACATGAAGGAAGCGGCAGTATGAATGGCCAACACTCATACCTCAGTGCCTAAATAAATGATTAACAGGCAGGAGTGCCAAGCAGCCAGCAACTCCATCAAACCCATGAGTTTTGAGCAAGAGATGCACACACCAATGACAGGCAAACACAACAGTGGCCTGCAGAAAGCAAGCAATCAACTTAACTTCAGGAATAACGCAAGAAGCAAGGCCAGGACCATGCACAAGTGCTGCATCAAGAACACATGAAATGATCAGCAATGTTACATTTGAAGCAGTATCATGACTCATAAACTATCGTAATTTCCTATCACAGGCAAAATATTTTCCTCAAAATAGTGAGCATAAATACAATATATTGGCATCATTTTCTCATACTGAGTAGTCACTTGTTGGAGATAGGTATAAATAGCTATGATTCCACTTTCAAAGGGAAAAAACAGCTAAGTAACTATATTGTCAATGAAAGAAAAAGGACTATCCAGCTGACTATAAACCCTACAGCTTCCTAGGTATGGTGAGGGACTGCTAGAAACATCCACTTGCCAAACCACCCAATTCACCAAGGAAAAACATTTAGGGACATGGTTTACTGGGTGATATTGGTGGCAGGGGGACAGCTGGACCAGATGATCTTGGAAGTCTTTTCCAACTTTAATGATTCAATGAAAATACCCATCTCTAATGAATTCCAATGGCCTTTGAACTAAGCTGCTTCAGTGCCAGAACTGCCTGAATCCCAGCTAATATGCTGATGTCTACATATGAAACCTTCCTGCTATCTGATGAGAAACACTAAATTCTGCTTGCAGGCCTCTCTTTGGCATTTATAGAGCTCACTAACAGAAACTTCGTCCTTCACGTTCATGTTGAACTTCCTTCTTTTTCCTGGATCAAGCTAACCCATAAAACCTCTTCATTTTTATGAGCCCTTCACAAATCTATTCAAGCAGGGATCTGACATGGGAAATGCAGAACAAGCCCTGAAACCAAGGGGACCGGTCAATATTTTGCACTCTCCCAGCCGTTTAACACTGATTGCAATGAGTCTTTTGGCAGCCAAAGAGGTGCAGAGGAGGAGAAGAAGGTGGTACTAAGTGGCTTAGCTAGGTGGGACATCACCACCTGGTGAAACAGAGAAGAAATGAGTCTGACACCTAACACTGTGGATGGGACAACATCCATTACTTCACATACACTGAACAGACCAACAAAATTCAATTACGCAATTGGAGAAGACAAGTCTTACATCATATTATTATTAGGAGGGCAGAGCTACGTATAAACTTTTTGACGAGGTGATGATTACATTTATCTTCTCTAGATAAGATATACGTATGTAAGATGGGGTGTTCAGAAGCCATGAATCCTGATGTATTTAAGAGACTGTTCGTGCTCTGAAATTACTGTCGGGATGAAAGCAGAGTAAATGCAAAAGATGGGACATTTCAGCAACCGACAAACTACCCAGAAGTGTGTCACGGGGTATACATCATTAATGGCTTTAATGTGGCTAAGAAGGACAATGGGATTCTAGCCTGCATCAGGAGGAGTGTGGACAGCAAGTCGAGTGAGGTGATCCTCTCCCTCTACTCAGCTTTGGTGAGGCCACACCTGGAGTACTGTGTGCAGTCCTGGGCTCCCCAGTACAAGAGGGACGCAGAACTTCTAGAGAGGATCCATCGTAGAGCCACAAAGATGATAAAGGGATTGGAGCATCTGTCCTATGAGGAAAGACTAAGTGAGCTCGGCCTGTTTAGCCTAGAGGAGATTGAGAGGGGATCTTATTAGCCTCTACAAACACCTGAGGGGACACTGTAA